CATTGTCTATATTGGCGTTGTTCGAGATGGTGCTGCCTAGGCAGGCGAACTTGTCCGCGGATACAAGCCGTGTTCCATTCACATTGATACGGGTCGTTGCGTGTTCCTCCCCTGGTGTGGATTGTTATATGACCACCGTTCTGTCCGTGTTGATGGCGAGCCCGAAGTTTGCGCAGCCGAAGGCGAAGAGGTCCATGCTTCTTTGCATGGCTGCTTCCGCCGTGTCTTTGGATGTGCTGTCGTCCGTGAAGAGCGGTTTACGAGCAGTGGTTGTTGCGGTCCCCGTGGAAGTTTGCATTTGTCGGGCGTTGATAAGCTGGCCGTCGCTCTTGTAGACGACGCTGATCCCAGGGCGCTCATCACGACAAGCGTCCGGGAGTAATGCAGAGGACACAAACTGAAGAGGGTAGAAACGAGTACGCAGCCCCACTTCACTCCATTGGCCATTGCCAATGCTTCTTAGATCGTCTCATTGTGAGTGACATGCATTATCATCCCGCCGTGTGAGACTTATTCGGAACACCTGAATTTCTGCATTATTTTCCTGATTCCATCACGATTCATCGTTCCAAAGACGTTCTTCGGGTCCACGAAGATAGCGTAGAAGTGGACCTGAATCTCCTGGCACTTCTCCTGCAGTAGCCAGGCCGCAAACATCAAGTCGGTCGTTTCGCGATTCCGTCGGAAGTCCCACTGGCTTTCTAGAAGAAGTCCGTGTCCCAGATAGCCATTTAAACTATTGAAGAGGATGCGAGCAAAGATCTTTCCAACAATACTGAACAGTGAGGTTCCTCTACGATTGTCACAGAGTTGTCGGTTCTCTTTCCGCTTGTAGAGATGGACGATGGGCGTGCCCTTAAAATTCTGGGAAGCTTGCTTGTGACGCAACATCTATTTGAGCATCGTTTTAAGTCTGTCTATCAGTCGGGGCTTCCACGCTTGTGGATTTTAGCCGGGATCGCGTCAGATACCGGTGCCTTCCTGCTGGAGCTTTGATGTACTGCTCTGATTATTTCTGAGAGGGAAGGCGGGAGGTCAAGGTTCTTGTTCGTTTCCACCTGACGACGGCGTTGGAAATCGTGAATGAGTGATTGCGGAAGTTTTTGAAGTGCTTGGCCCAGCACTTTATGTTCTAAAATTTCTCCGGTTCGTCGAGCTGAGCAGCGGTGCGATTCCCTCGGCGAGGGGCCATAGGCTTCCTTGATGGAAGCGAAGAGGTTCTTTGTTTCGTTGCGGTCCGTTTATCCTTGGATTTCCTCGGCCTCTCTGTCCATTCAGGAGTCCTGTGTTTCCCGCGGCCGTTGCCACACCCGGTGGTGACACCCGAAGTAGGCTGCCCAGTTAGCATTAGTTCCTACTTTGACCTAGGCCCTGTACAGCCTATTCTCTGCGAACATTGCTGTCATCAAACCAACCGTGACGTTGACGAAGTCGTCCAGAACGGTGGAGTGGATGGCGTTCCGCAGTTGGCGTTACCTTGCCTCCACGATGACCTTGTCGTCCTTATCCTGAAGTTCTTCTTGTATTGAGCCAATTGATTGCTGAAATTTAAGCAGCGAGCAGACAAATTTAACAGCTTAGTATTTAACTTACCTGGTGGTCGTTCACCTTCTGGTCTTTGTGAGGCTCCAGGCGAAATCTCATCTTATAAAGAACGATACTATGTTCCGTCCAGTCATCGGCGTCACAGATCGCCTTTGTCATCAACGCGTGCTACCAATCTAGCACACTGATAAGAATTTAATTCAACAGCTGTCAGCGCCACGATCAGAAGGGCATTCAGGTGGCCTTCCTCCACGTCGGAGGGCGAAAGAAAATGTTAGTCACGAGGAGACAATGTTCCGTGCAGGTTCGCAGAAAAAGCAGGTCGTTGTCGTTACAGCCAACGGGACCATAGGGAATCAGCAGTCCCCTCCAGGCAGCATGGTCTGTCCCGACACAGGCGCTGAAGTCACCAAGGACAACTGCTTTCAGCACAGTCGTCGGTAGGGCGTGCAGGTCTTCATAAAACTTGGTCTTCGCCTCGTCGGAGCCAGTCATTGGGGGGGGGGCCGTAGCCGCTGACGATGGTGGCGAGTTTAGTTCTCCAAAGAGTCACGCGCAGGCTCATAAGGCGGGCTTTGGTGTCCTGCGGTAAAGGTGACGCCCACGTCTTGTAGCTCTGCCTTCAGGCGGCCTTCCAGAAGAAGATGTAGCCGGCACGCACCTCCTCCAGTTGGTCTTTTTCTTAGAAACGGCTTTCGCAGAGAGCAGCGATGTCCACCTCGCGGCGCGCCAGTTCTCGAGCGAATGGCGCCGTCTTCCGTTCTGGTCGGTTGTTCCCCGGACTGTCTAAAAGGGAAAGGATATTCGAGGCTGCCAGAGTGAGCACCCGAGGGGAATGAAGGGAGGGGGAGAAGAGTTGTTGGTGTTTATTGCTGTATTTCAAACTCAAGTTTTTGCATATACGAGCCACAGTCACTTTGTAAATAGCGTGATTTCCCAGCAGTTGTTTAGCTCCTTACTCCGCGAGAGGGTAGGCAATACTATCCCTAACTAGAACCGCTTATACATCCCAAACGGCTACCGAATTCCGCTACGGTTCACGACTTTGTTTAGTGAAGAGCGACCTGTTTTACCCTGGGTTGCTTACGGGATTGCATGTTTCCTTCTCCATAGGGCTTTTTGAAGTGGAGGAGGCGAGAAGGGACAGAAGGTAGAGCAGAATTACCGGGTGTGGGAACACACAACACCGCATACCGTCAGAAGGTCTAACCCGCCGGTCGAGGCGTTCACCGGGGTGTGACCGCTGGGCTGAGGCCAGCTTTGGCGAGCCACAGATGACAGTTGGGTGCCAGTTAAGAACCGTGAGATGCAGCTACCGCCTGCAGGAGATAAATGATGCGACCTGCCACACCTGCACGATTTGATCAAAACTAGACACTCCATACACCATGAACATGCAATAATACACCAAACAAAAACGCGTTGTTGTCAGACACGACTACCGATTCACTGAAGACACGTGACTGTACCTGCCAGTTGAGGGTATTCAGAAGCATTGACGGTAGAGATAAGGGAGTCTGCGGCGACTACTTTTGTTTATGGAAATAGCTAGATGTAGTTTGTTTGGACTTCATCTCAACCATATTTCAGTAATATCTGGAAGTTTATGTCAGAATTTCCCGTGCCACATTTTAATATCGGCATCCAGACGTCCTCCGTATTTTTTCCTTTCCATTTCGCACAAACGAGAATAATTTCTTTCGTTGGAGCACTTACGAAACGTGTGCTGGAAGCGGCTAAAAGAAGTTTGGAAAATGACTTACAGTAGATGGGCTAACTCATGAAATGCAACCGAAATTCCGAAGTGTGTTTTCGTTTCGAAAAGATTAATTAAGTAGGATTATAAAACCAATCAGGCTGAAGTATAATTCTATAATAATTCAGATACCTCAGGGTCCTGGCTTTCGAGCGAACTTCCTTCCGGCTGCATACAAAAACTGCACTCTGTAAAGAATGACTACTTGAGTAGCATGTATTTTTCTCATTGATTTTCGATGCCCCTAAAGGTTCAGTTATATTTCGTGGAAAGCATGCATAAAAATATTCATTCTTCCGCTCACTCGGTAGAAAAGTATGTCTTCTTTTAATTATATACTCGAAGGAAGGGTATTACTCGGTTTTCAAAAACTTTTCTAATTCCCGAATAATTTTGAACCCGCTCTGCCGTCACGCTTGCATTCAGGGTTTCCAAACTTTAAGCCATGTATTTTCCGCGTACGAAAAACCACACATTTCTCTACTGTATTGAGAGGAGACCATATGGGGTTCATTAAACTTTAGCATTGGATTCGATCCATATTGTTAACTTTGCAAGCCACATTGGTAAATGCAGATACATGACGTTTTATGAACGGCCATTTCACGGTATTTAAAAGACTCGCAATTAGAAACTTTTTTAAAACAAAATCATGTCCCTCCTTCCAGTATAAAATTGGAAGAAGACGTAATTTTCTACTGAATGACCGGAAGAATGAATATTTTTATGCATGTTTTCTACGAAATATAACTGAACCTTTAGGGGCATCGAAAATCAATGAGAAAAATACATGCTACTCAAGTAGTCATACTTTACAGAGTGTAGTTTTTGTATGCAGCCGAAAGGAGGTTCGTTCGAAAGCCCAGCACCCTGAGGTATTTGAATTATTATAGAATTATACGTCAGACTGATTGGTTTTACAACCCTACTTAATTAATCTTTTCGAAACGAAAACGCACTTCGGAATTTCGGTTGACATTTCATGAGTTAGCTCAGCTACTGCACTTACAGTTCGCGACCTATGTGATGAAATGTCGCGAACAGGGAACTTAGATCGCTGTAGCGCACGATACTGCCACCCTGCATCCACGAACGTTATACTGCATTAAATATACTACCGAGCTTCAAAATAAGACATAGTTTGGTTTATAAAGCATTATTTATTGACTAAGAAATAACTTATTTTAGGAAAAAACCACCAAATCAAAAAGTCTACCGTATGACAAACCAACGATTCAGGGTCTACTGTAACTGTCAGGAAAGAAGGGAAATTTCACAGAACGACAGAAAAATGAAAAACAGTAACAAATACAACGTGTCAGTACTTTGTTGATTGTCCTTTGGTTTTTAAAGTTGCTGTAAGGCGGGAGGACATGGAGACTACCAAGTTGTCTATGGTGGTTTGGTCTATGTAAGTATTTAGGAGGAATTCCATTTTTTTTCCATAGAAAGATGTTTTCCTGCCTTGTTCCAATTTCTTTTGATTAGTACAAAAAGATTTTCGATGAAATTTAGATCCAGGCACTTGGTGGGAATAAAAATGCTTTGAAGGCCGCAGGCAGAGAGGCTGGCTGTGGTCTAAAACAGCAGATTTTAGTCGTAAGCTGAAGTGGCAGCATACCTCCTTTGAGCGGTGGACGGGGGCATTATCCTGCAACATTACGGTGTCCACTCGACGTCAATAAGCGCCGTTGTAACCGAAAGCATCCTTTACGATATCGATGAGCACCTTGCTATTTATCGTCTCCGTCGTTGAATGCCAGACCGGTCGCCCTCCGAAATTGATGGCCATCCAAACCATCAGGCGTCGGCAATTCTTGAAAGTTGGCGTGGACATAGTGTGTGTTTTATAGCACTTGCCTGAGCGAACTTAACGCTCATTATCCGTCTGTACAGCGTGACAACCAGGAAAAATTGCTACTACTTCCGCAATTGGCTGTCATAGTGCTCCCAGGCCCTGGAGTCGGGGGGGGGGGGGCTAAAGACCTTTTGTCGGCACCTGAGATTACAAACGAGAAGTCTTCTCCCTACATAGACGGCCGAATACGCATTAGCAATGCGGAGGAGCGACGTCATTTCTCGCCCCGGCGCACCCCCACGTTAGACTCGACTGAACTACTTGCGAGAGGCCGCAGTTGCGTGAGTCGGGAACAGTACTCTTGATCCAAACTGTCAAGCATAAATCATGTCAACAGCCAAGTAAAGACTCGGACTAGGCAAACCAAACAAGCAACAATCAAAAATGTGCGCTTAACACAACAACTACTAATTTTAATATCTATGTTATGCTGACAGCTACAGCCTATAACTACTGTACACCCTGCGCGACCGCTACTTTTGCCGTTAATGCCTCTGATTTTAGGTTAAAAAGGAATCTAAAACGCCAGGCGAGTAAACTCTTTGTTCCAGAGATCAGATCTCCCTCATAAATTTCTTTTTCACCGAAGGTCATCGTACCGGGCGGATGCAGATCGTTTTTGTGTCTTTATGCATAGCAATAGAACTTGGTGAGGAGTTACCGTTACCCGCCAAATACGGAATGCAGTTTGGCAGAGTCTACCGATGTCCTATTTTTCTATCAGTCAAAAGC